CGTGGCGCCAACGTCGTGGCCGGCGTCAGCGCCTACTCTGTGGGTAACCTCAACCTTGAAGGCTACAAGCTCCCGTGGGAGGACGAGAAGCTGGAGTACCCGTCCAATCTGGCCCACCCGCGTGACATCCTTATCCAGGCTTCCAACGGTGCTTCGGACTACGGTAACAAGTTCGGTGAGCCCGTTGTGACGGGTTTCGCCCGTTCGTTCGGTATGGTGCTGCCTAATGGTGAGCGTCGCGAGTACATTAAGCCAATTATGTTCTCGGCCGGTCTCGGCCAGCTCGACGGCCGTCACTGCACTAAGGGTGAGCCTGAGATTCAGATGTGGGTGGTCAAGATCGGTGGCCCGTGCTACCGTATCGGTATGGGCGGCGGTGCCGCCTCCAGCCGTATCCAGGACACCAAGACGGCTGACCTGGACTTCAACGCCGTCCAGCGTGGTGATGCCGAAATGGAGTGCAAGCTGAACAAGGTGATCCGCGCCTGCTGTGACCTGGGCGAGAAGAACCCCATCGTCTCTATCCACGACCAGGGAGCTGGTGGCAACGGTAACGTGCTGAAGGAGATCGTTGAAGTGTCCAACTCGAAGCCCGGTAATGCTAACCGTGGCGGTGCGCGCTATGAGGTGCGCAACATTCTGGTGGGTGACGACACGCTGTCCGTTCTCGAGATTTGGGGTGCTGAGTACCAGGAGAACGACGCGCTGCTGCTGCGTCCGGAGCACGTGGAGCTGTTCGACAAGATCTGCAAGCGTGAGAACTGCCCGTACGCGCTGCTGGGCCAGGTGACCGGCGACGGCCACGTGGTTCTGCACGACTCGCAGGACGACTCGACCCCGTTCGACCTGGACCTGGACCTGGTGCTGGGCAAGATGCCCCAGAAGACCTTCACGGACACCAAGGCCACGGAGCCCGTCTCGGAGCTGTCGCTCCCGGCGGACATCACTCTGCGCGACGCGCTGGACCGTGTGCTACGTCTCCTGGCCGTCGGCTCGAAGCGCTTCCTGACCAGCAAGGTGGACCGCTCGGTGAGCGGCCTAATCGCCCAGCAGCAGACTGTCGGCCCGCTTCAGATGACGCTGGCTGACTGCGCCGTTGTGGCCCAGTCGCACATGCCTAACAAGGACGGCAAGTTCACGGGTGTCGTGAGCGCGTGCGGTGAGCAGCCTGTTAAGGGCCTGGTGAACCCCGGCGCCATGGCCCGTCTTA